ATCTGTAAGGTCTTAAACTTCTTTAATATTCATACTATGTTAGTGCATGATGCAAATATGCATTAAAACAAAAATATGAAATTTTCTAAAAAAATTATAAATATGTAGGTTAACCCCTATGAAAAAATTGAAATTTTCGAAAAATGCTATCTATAATTTTCTAGACGTATTAGTGTTGCTTAAAAATACCTAACCACACTTTAAATGTATATTAATTTATGCTAAATATATCTTCATGGTACATGGTCATCATTTCTAACTTTCCAAAGAGTAATTTATTTAATCTTCATATAGGATCTAATTAGTGTACTAATCCCTATAAATTTCTATTTTCTTGAGAAATTGGAACATATAAGGTCTCAGACCTCTTTAATCTTCATACTAAGCTAGAGAATGTCGCAAATATGCATTATAACAAAAGCACGAAATTTTCTAATTTTTCTTGAAATATGTGGGTTAACCCCCTACGAAAAATTTGAATTTTTCGAAAAATGCTATCTATAATTTCTTACACACATTAGTGTTGTTTAAAAAGACCAAACCACACTCTCAATGTATATTAATGTAGGCTAAATATATCTTCATGTTACATGGTCATCATTTCTAGCTTTCCAAAAAGTAATTTATTTAAACTTCATATAAGATCTAATTAGTGTACTAACTTCGATAACATTTCTATTTTCTAAATTTTCTTATTTTTCTTGAAAAATGTGGGTTAATCCCTACGAAAAAATTGAATTTTTTGAAAAATGTTATATATAATATCTTAGACACATTAGTGTTGTTTAAAAATACCTAACCACACTCTCAATGTATATTAATGTAGGTTAAATATATTTTCATGGTACATGATCATTTTTCTAACTTTCCAAAGAGTAATTTTTTTAAACTTCATATAAGATCTAATTAGTGTACTAACCTCGATAACTTTTCTATTTTCTAAAGAAATGGGAACACATAAGGTTTCAAACCTCTTTAATCTTCATACTAAGATAGAGAATGATTCAAATATGCATTAAAAATAAAATACAAAATTTTCTCATTTTTCTTGAAATATGTGGGTTAACCCCTATGAAAAAAATTGAATTTTTTAAGGCTATCTATAATTTCTTAGACACGTTAATGTTGTTTAAAAATACCTAATTACACTCTCAATGTATAATAATGTAGGCTAAATATATCTTCATGTTACATGGTCATCAATTCTAACTTTCCAAAGAGTAATATATTTAAACTTCATATAAGATCTAATTAGTGTACTAACCTCGATAACCTTTCTATTTTCTAAAGAAATGGGAACACATCAGGTTTCAAACCTCTTTAATCTTCATACTAAGCTAGAGAATGATTCAAAAATGCAATAAAACGAAAATACGAAATTTTCTTATTTTTCTTGAAATATGTGAGTTAACCCCTATGAAAAAAATTGAATTTTTTGAAAAATGCTATCTATAATTTCTTAGACACGTTAGTGTTGTTTAAAAATAACTAACCACACTCTCAATGTATATTAATGTAGGCTAAATATATTTTCATGGTACATGGTCATCATTTCTAACTTTCCTAAGAGTAATCTTTTTAAACTTCATATAAGATTTAATTAGTGTACTAACCCTTATAAGATCTCTATTTTGGAACACGTAAGGTCTTAAACTTCTTTAATATTCATACTATGTTAGTGCATGATGCAAATATTCATTAAAACAAAGATACAAAAAATTTTAATATTTCTTGAAATATTTGAGTTAACCCCTATGAAAAAATTGAATTTTTCAAAAAATGCTATCTATAATTTTTTAGACACGTTAGTGCTGTTTAAAAATATATAACCCCACTCTCAATGTATATTAATGTATGGTAAACATGATTACATGATACATAGTCATCATTTCTAACTTTCCAATGAGTAATTTATTTAAACTTCATATATAGTCTAATTAATGTACTAACCTCTATAAAATTTCTATTTCTAGAGAAATGAGAACATATAAGGTCTCAAACCTCTTTAATCTTCATACTAAGCCAGATAATGATGCAAATATGCATTAAAACAAAAATATGAAATTTTCTAAAAAAAATTATAAATATGTAGGTTAATCCCTATTAAAAAAATTATAAATATGTATGCTAAATATATCTTCATGGTACATGGTCATCATTTCTAACTTTCCAAAGAGTAATTTATTTAAACTTCATATAAGATCTAATTAGTGTACTAATCCATATAAAATTTCTATTTTCATGAGAAATTGGAACACACAAGGTCTCAAACCTCTTTAATCTTCATACTAAGCTAGAGAATGTCGCAAATATGCATTATAACAAAAACATGAAATTTTCTAATTTTTTCTTGAAATATGTAGTTAAACCCCTATGAAAAAGTTGAATTTTTTGTAAAATGCTATCTATAATTTCTTACACATTAGTCTTGTTTAAAAATATCTAACCACACTCTCAATGTATATTAATGTTGGCTAAATATAGTTTCATGGTACATGGTCACCATTTCTAACTTTCCTAAGAGTAATTTTTTTAAACTTCATATAAAATCTAATTAGTGTACTAACCTTTATAAGATCTCTATTTTGGAACACGTAAGGTCTTAAACTTCTTTAATATTCATACTATGTTAGTGCATGATGCAAATATTCATTAAAACAAAGATACAAAAAAAAATAATATTTCTTGAAATATGTGAGTTAACCCCTATGAAAAATTGATTTTTTTGAAAAATGCTATCTATAATTTCTTAGACATATTAGTGCTGTTTAAAAATACCTAACCACACTCTCGATCTATATTAATGTAGGCTAAATATATTTTCATAGTACATGGTCATTATTTCTAACTTTCCAAAGAGTAATTTGTTTAAACTTCATATGAGATCTAATTAGTGTAATAATCCCTATAAAATCTCTATTTTGGAACACGTAAGTTCTTAAACCTCTTTAATATTCATACTCTGTTAGTGCATGATGAAAATATTCATTAAAACAAAAATACTAAAACTTTTAATATTTCTTGAAATATGTGAGTTAACCCCTATGAAAATATTGAATTTTTCAAAAAATGCTATCTATAATATTTTGGACACATTAGTGCTGTTTAAAAATACCTAACCACACTCTCAATGTATATTAATGTATGGTAAACATGCTTTCATGGTACATGGTCATCATTTCAAACTTTCCAATGAGTAATTTATTTAAACTTCATATATAGTCTAATTAGTGTACTAAACTCTATAAAATTTCTATTTTCTATAGAAATGGGAACATATAAGGTCTAAAACATCTTTAATCTTCATTAAAACAAAAATACGAAATTTTTTAATTTTTTTGAAATATGTGGATTAACCCCTATGAAAAAATATTTTTTTTTGAAAAATGCTATCTACAATTTTCTAGACACATTAGTGTTGTTTAAAAATATCTAACTACACTCTAAATGTATATTAATGTAGGCTAAATATATCTTCATGATACATGCTCATCATTTCTAACTTTCTAAAGAGTAATTTATTTAAACTTTAGATAAGATCTAATTAGTGTACTAATCCCTAAAACATTTCTATTTTCTAGAGAAATGGGAACACGTAAGGTCTCAATCCTCTTTAATCTTCATACTAAGCTAGATAATGATTCAAATATGCATTAAAACGAAAATACAAAATTTTCTCATTTTTCTTGAAATATGTGGGTTAACCCCTATGAAAAAATTGATTTTTTCGAAAAATGCTATCTATAATTTCTTAGACACATTAGTGTTGTTTAAAAATACCTAACCACACTCTCAATTTATATTAAATATATTTTCATGGTATATGGTCATCATTTCTAACTTTCCAAAGAGTAATTTATTTAAATTTCATATAAGATCTAATTAGTGTACTAACACTTATAAAATCTCTAGAAGGTATATCCTCGGATTTTAAATATTATAAAGAAATATAACTAAAAAAAACTACATACAACATATATCAATGCATCTATTTCTACTTATACTGAATTCTACATTTCTAATACTTTTAATTCATGTTTATTCTTTAATATTTTTATTCCACACAATAAAATTAAAATAACATGTCCAACACAATTTTCCGCGCGTAGCGCGGACAACGGATCTAGTAACAATAAAAGTGAATATTCCTTCTTCCATTTAAATTTTCATAAATTTTTATTTTTTGGCTAAAAATTGCTTGAATCATATTTCTAGGGTTTATATATTAATACGTATTCCGCGTAACCAAAAAGAAAAAAGTGAAGCCCTCGGAGTAAGCCATCTCAACGTTTCTCAGTGCTTCTCTAATTTCATCTTTAAAGTTGCACCTTGTGGATATACTTTGAGAGATGGTGACGTTGGATATCTAGCTATATACAGCTATATTGATAACTTGATCGACTACACGCAAAAGAAGGTACCTATGGAGTTAGCAAAGGAGATGGGAACCGTAGGAGTATCCCATGGCTGGGTAGCAACTTTAAAAAATGGAATCGTGTGTCTTCAAGATGACCTACATCCCCATGCATCGTATACTGACCCAAAACGCATTTCATTGCTTCCTCTTGTAACTTTGCCTCATTGTCAAACCCAAGTCGTAACCAACATAGCCATGTCCTCTTCTTCTCCCGAGGATGAAGACTGCATTTGTTCCTTGTGTACAGGATAGACGAAGAAGGAAACGCTGTGTATACTGAGGACTTTGGAGGTGTGTGCATTTTCCTCTCTAAGGCTGAACCATTCTGTCTCCCGGCAGCTTGTTTACATGACCAGAGACCAAACTGCATCTATCACTTAAGCAAAAACAGCTTTGGAATAAAATGCATGGGAATATACGAATTAGGCCCCAATTAGTTTAGTTTAGTAAAAATGCTTTGGAATAAACAGCCTAGGAAATATAGGCTGAGGCCCAATATTTAAAAATATAGGCCCCAATTAGTTTAGTAAAATCAGTAGGGCCCAAAGAATCATGATATTTAAAGTCTCTTTGATCCTTCAGGATGGCTTCTTCCTATTGCACTCCGGTGATGAATCAAGGAGATAATCCGAATTGGGCGGAGCTTCCGCCTGAGCTGACGTCATCGATTCTACACCGGCTTGGTGCGATTGAGATACTATATAGCGCGCAGAAAGTTTGCAGATCATGGCGCCGCGTCTGTAAAGACCCTTCGATGTGGCGGAAAATTGAAATGCGTAACCATGTACATATGATACTTAGCTTTGGAGACTTAGTGAATATGTGCCGTCACGCAGTTGATCTTAGCCAGGGAGGCTTGGTTGAGATCGAGATTTGGCACATCGCTACTTATGATCTCCTCAAGTACATGGCCCATAGGTTGCTAAATCTAGGTTTAGTGAATTGATTTTGTCTATAGAGGATATATATAAATTTTTTCAAAATATTTTGCGGACCTGAGGCGAATGTTTCAATAGGCTTGGCCTAGAACCGGTCCTGGGGATGACATAAGAAAAGAGAGATTTTGTAATTGTGGTTTGCATCTTGTCCTTTGATTATGTTTTTCTAACGTGCTATTTTTTTGCAGTTGTAGTAAGCTGAGAAGTCTTAAACTTGCAATGTGCTATCAAATAGGGAGCGAGGGACTTACAGAAGTAATTGTGAAACTTCCTTTGCTTGAAGTCCTCGAGGTTTCATACTGCTCATTATCGGGAGAGTCACTGAAAGTTATAGGCCAGTCATGTCAAAATCTGAAGTCATTAGGAAAAAACTGTGAGGGTTACAAGAGTCCTCGAAACGAGAGCGATGGTGTTGCTCTAGCAATCGCTGAAACAATGCCTGGACTCACCCGCCTTCAGCTTTTCGGGGATAGATTAACAGACGTCGGTTTAAACGCCATTCTTGACAGTTGTCCGAACCTGGAATATCTTGATCTACGCCAGTGTTTCATTGTTAACCTAGTTGGGGATCTGGAGAAGCGGTGTTCCGAGAGGATCAAAGTTTTGAGACGCCCTAATGACTCGACTCATGATTACCCATTTGATGCAACGCTTAACGACGTGGATCTGTCAAAAGATGACTACTCTTATGGTGGTGGTGTCTCTGATGTTGATGAAATGTCGGAGGATGAGTTTTACGATGACCTCTCAGGTGCAAGTGACCATTCTGACTTTGACCCGTTTGATTATTAGGGTTTCTAGATGCATTGGATTTGCAGATAATACCTTAAGCATGCTCGTAGTTTCATTGGACTTTGTGTGTATTGTGTGGTCTTTAGTAGTATTGGCTTTGTGCCTTTTTTCTTTCTACAATATCTAAAACTCGAATAAAGTTTCAAATTATATGATTAGTTTTATTTCCTTTGAAACATCGTTGAAAGTAGGCACAGCCATAAAATACCAAGATCTGAAATAATATATGTAAAAATATGAATAATTGTTTTGGATAAGATGAAGCTTTTAAACATATTCACATTGCAGACTTAAAGTAGATTCTGTGGCAGAGTATCTTTCAAACATATAGATGAAAAGATTAACGAGCTGAAGGAGTGTCACTGATGAAACTTGTGCCATGTCCCATGGAATTGGTTGGGTTTGCATCTTGACTTCTTTTTATAAACTTCTCATATATCTCCAAACACTCATTGAGTTCATGAGCAACCCTTGTCATGTTTGGTCTCTCTGTGGAACAAGGGTTAACGCATGACATAGCTAATTCAAGAGCTTTCCAAGATGAACTTGTGTCATATTCTCGATGGAGATTCGGATCCATAATACTATCAATATCACCATTTGCGAGCATAGACTTGGCCCATTCTACTATGTAAGACTTTTCACGTGATTGTTCAATCACCGGTTGGCCAGTGATAATCTCCAGTAACACTATACCAAAGCTATAAACATTACTCTTCTCCGTTAACCAATTCTTTTGGTAGTATCTGCATGACAAGTACTTGAAGATGTATGAAACAAGCAAGAAGGTAGACATTAAAACTACGGTGGATACACTTACTCTGGATCAAGGTATCCAAAAGTTCCAGCAACGTTTGTTGATACATGAGTATTACTCCCCACTAAAAAAGATCTTGAAAGTCCAAAGTCGGCAAGTTTGGCTTCAAAAGTTTTACTTATCAATATATTGGTACTTTTTACATCTCTATGGACCATTGGCGGCTTACATCCAATATGCAAATATTCAATTCCTGATACATGAAAAAGCCTTCATATGTTAAGATTATTTTTCAAGAAAATATAGTTAAAATGATGGGGAAAAAAAACAGATTTTATACAAACCTAATGCAGACTCTATAGCTATTTTAAGTCTACTTGACCAATTCAAAGTAGAGCCTCTACGTTTTCCTGCCAGAAATTACCATACGGTTAAAAATCATTGGGAAGTTTGAAAGCATCTGGCTTTAAATAGATAACTCATTTACCTGAGAGATGTTCCTTTAAGTTTCCATTTTCCATGTACTCGTATATGAGAGCCAAATCATTTCCTTCATCACAATATCCAATGAGGCTTACTAAATTTACGTGGTGGACTCTTAGAAGTAGTTCAACCTAATAATCAACGATTTAAAAGGGTATGATTCATAGACAAATGAATCTTGATTCCCCCAAAAATTTAGCGTAATGTACTAATGTTTGTACTTCTGTTTTGAATTCCTTATAGCCTTGAGTTGATGATTGAGAGAGAACTTTGACTGCTACTTATTCATTATTTAGATAACCATGACAAACAACACCAAAACCTCCCTTACCAAGAACAACTTGAAAGTTATTAGTCATTTCTTTGACTTCTGAATAAGTAAATCTTCTGTTTTTCATTTCAAGGGATGGACGTCTAACTGCGGAAAATATTTTGACAAGGAAGATTCATATTTCTGATATGGAGCATATATATATGTTTGTTTAAACTACCTTTGCAACTTGATCTCTTTCTCTTTCTGAAAAAGAAGATGAGAACCAACACAATTATGATAATGGCCAGACAAGAAACAGACACAACAATCACTACCACCCGGGTTTTTGGTTTGCATGCCCCACATTGCTTCATATTATCAACACTAAAGATGAAAAAACATTATTGAAGACTGGCATTTTAAGAAAAGAGTGGATATAATAATAAAAAGAAGATAATTTGAAAGAAAACTCTTACGATAGCTTTAGTCCATCTTTTTTTTCTGTCGAGAAGGGATTTAGGAACAGAACCTCTGAGATTGTTTCCTCTCAAGTTTCTGTGGATGTGGATTAATCATTAAAAACCAATGAAGATGAAATAACTTAGCAAAAGAAAGGAAGATGAAATAACTTTTTTTTGTTCTTAGAGAACTTACATGACCAACAAGGATTTCAAATTGGCTAGAAACTCAGGCTATCGTAAGAGTTTATCAGCAAATAACTGTAAGGCTATTAACCAAATAAACCTTTCTTTTTATTTTATCATGGAGAAACGTACAATTCTTGAAGCTGGCTTAGATTTTGTATGCTAGGTGGTATAACTCCATTTAATCCACTTTTAGACAAATCTCTGTTTGCATAGACAGAAACATCATATATAATGTATACTAGGTGGTTGCCTGCGAATTCGTGGATATAAAAATTGTATGAAAACATATGTTATGTATACAATGTTAACTTCAAATACTTTGACAATCAGTCGTAAAGTTTCTATAAATTTAATGTAAAAATAGCTGATGGATATTTAGTAATAACAAATACTTGTGAAATTATATAGTGTATGTAATTATTACATTAACTTTCCAACACATATTATGCATCTTCTTCGGCATCTTCTTATTTTTCTCTTTATCATTTTCGTTCTTTTTATTTAATTTTTGCTAATGTTTTCCTAATTGTTTACATATTTTTTGCCAAATATTTATTGATCTCTAAATAGTAATACAAAACATACAACCAATGAACCAAAAAGCCATCTTATAATTATTTTCAATCATAATATTTCCTTATTCACTATATTACTAATCTTGTATGTAATTATTACATTAACTTCTCCAACATATATTATACATCTTCTTCGGCCTCTTCTTATTTTTCTCTTTATCATTTTGTTTATTTATTAAATTTTTGCTAATATTTTTCTAATTGTTTACATATTTTTTACCAAATATTTTTTGATCTCTAAACAGAAATACAAAACATACAACCAATGAACCAAAACTTCATCTTAGAATTATTTTCAATCATAATATTTCTTTATTCAACCATGTAGTATATAAATATAAAATAACTAATCAAACTCATGTAATATTAGCTACCATTAATTTTATAATAATTTATATACTAAGAAAGTTTTAAACTCATGTAACTAATCTATAAACTTGTTTTATGATCATTAATAGTTATTATAATATCTCTGTATAAAATAAGACCGTCGTAGTTGACGTAGACAAACATTGTTCTGATTAGATACTTTGTTTCCTGTGTGACACTTAGACTATAGCAGTTTCGTATTCCATCTGGAAAGTATCTCAAAACCATGTTTGGCTTTGAAACAAAAGCGGTCTCTGAGTTGTTTTGGATATAACCAGATTTTCCTCCTTGGATGAAACTGGCATCAGATATGTATGTTAAATTGGTGAGTTGTTCATTATAAGGAGGCTCGTTAGAAGGTAATCCACAATCCAAACTGATGAATCCTGGTAAAATCAGATAGGAAATTTTTTGATATAGAAACTTTTTACTGTCAAAAATACATATATATATCCATGATCCTAGAAGTAAAAACAAAAGGATAAATGAAAGACAGTAAAAATACCTTGTTGACTTTGAGACTTAACGAGATGTATAATGGAGAAAGCGGCACAAGCGACTAACAGAAGCTTGATGAGATTCTTCATCCTCTACTACTCAGTTCTCAACCAAGTCAAAACTTAACAGCTACCAAAAACTATTGAACATTACAAAGTCATATATCTATAAAATTGTATATATATATATATATATATATATATATGTATACATTTATATTAGTATAGTAACCCCTGATGAACACTGAAACCAAAAGAATTGGCAATATCAACTTATGGAAACGTCACCTAGAGATGGTAAACTACTTAAACATAATTTTCTAATACAAATGGTAGAAATTAGTAAGAGCCTAGAATAGAACGAGTAATTTCGAGGAAGCGGTCGACTTGGTAGTCGAAAATAGCTTGCCATATTTTCTGAGAATATATGGTGCTATCACTCCCAGTCACTTATGAAATCTTAAACTATTTTGTTATAAAGCAGGACAAGAAATGAAATATACAACCACTAAACAACATATATCGAGTTTTTATAAACACGGTCAAATCACACAAATATATATCATATAATGTGTGATTTCTTATTTTTTTTTTAAAAGTTCTTGCTATATATCGTGTCTTCGAGTACGCATTTAGACTTTATTGAGTCTATATACATTTTTTTTAAAAAAATACATATATACAATAAATATTTACAAATTAGATCTCCCATCGTTTTTACAAAACATAACCCTAAACTTTATTAGTCCTAAGAAAATCACCATTCACCGAATAACCGGAACGGAGCTCTACAAACCGGACACGCCAACTTATACAAACACCAAGAATCTATACATTGCACGTGAAACACGTGCCTGCATGTAACCAAAACCCTAACGACGTCGGTTTTTTGGAAATCCTCCAAACATATCACGCAAACATCCATCGTGATCCCGCCGCCGCCTATCTTCCCGAGTATCATCGCCGGTGAAAGCGGCTCGCCGGATTCCTCATCTCCGGATACCGCCTTTGGCAGTTTAGGGTATAGGAAGTAACACAATAATAAAACCGAACCGAAGAAGAAGAAGACGACGCATAGAAGCCTCAATGCGAACCATTCGCTCTCCGTTGCCATTTCCGCTACCGGGGAAACATCAGAGTAATCGCCGCAACAACTTATATCCATTTCTTGATGTTGTTTAGAATCCGACCGGAATGTTTAAACAAGAATGGTGTTGTTACAAAAAAAAAATAAAAGATGTTTTTTCGTGTTAGACAAATAAATAAATTTTATGAAAACTGATTTTTTATAAACAATTTAATCCAAATCGTGTGTAGTTTTATTTTTGCTTAATCCGAACGTTACAGTTAACCTTGTTGATTAACTGTCCTGATCTAGAAGTTAATCTGTTTCTTTATCCATTAAAATTGATATTTAAGGCTATTTTAGACACTTGGGTTATATTAGGAAGCAGATAAGATTTTACTCATAGAACCATCCTCTTGCATATCAAGGCTTTAGACGATTCCTCATGTCTCACCATTAAAACGTGTTAATAGGTAAAAACTTAATTAATTTCCATTGGTAGGAAATGGCGCGAGCTTGTCTTTAAATCCTATTTTCTAATGGTTATCCCAATCTCTGCATTTAAACGACAAATAAAACTAGCATACTCGTTGATATTTTAGCTTGTATTTAGTTCCATTTCGAATTTGGTTTCATTACTTGTATATGGTTCGGTTTTCAAATTCATTATTTCGTTTTTTTTGTTTCGTGTTTAAACAGTTAATTACACGGCGCAAGGCCAGTTTTGCTAACGAATAAGCATCACCCTTCCTCACTCGGTAAAAAGAAAACTCAAGCAAACTATACTTAACCATAACGCCATTTATCTAAGGAAATGATTGTTCATGGTCGTAAATCTCATTAACCCTAGTTTTTTTTTTATCTATAGAGGAAAGGGGGCTTAGATAGATAAATATAATCACAAAAGTCAATAGATACTTCTTTTTTCTTTCTTAAGTTTCAAATGAAAACATTACACAATAAACATCAAACACATAGAGAAAAGTCAAGGTTAAGAGATTTATTAAGCAACATCACGCCAAATCTTTATTCAAAAACACACACATATCTCTTAACATCAAACACACTTTTCCCCCAGTTTTCCTGCATGCATGTGATTTACACCACAATTTCTTCAACAGTTGCAGCTGTCTCCGCAGCTGCAGTTTGATCCACAGCTGCAATTGTCGCACTCCGTGTTGTAGTTCATCTCGCAACTTCACCACACAGACACACACAAATAATTGATATTTTGATAACTAATATGATATGAGAATTACGGACTAATTAAGCAAAAGTACTAGTTAAGTAACCACATCGTATACATGCATGTGAAGGAGATAGGTTATAGGGTTTACCTGCAAGAGTCACCACATTTGCAAGCGGAACCACATCCACAGTTTGAACCTGCCATTGCTTCTCTTTGCTTTAAACTTGTAATTTGCTTTTTGTCTTCTTCTTTTGATGCTTTTATTTGCTGTGGCTTGAACATATGGAACTGCCACTATTTATAGAAGAAGAGAAATATTCAATGTTAGTATCCACCACACACGTCTCATTCCGTGTATGGACAGAATCAAATAAATGCTCTTCGAAGAGGTTATCTATCACATAGAGCATTTCAACCAAGAATGGTCATCAAATTTAGTAGTGATTAAACATATTTCTTTAAAATTCTTTAATTATTGTAGTGAGAATCTGATCTTAAACTAAAATATTGTCTTATTCTTTTAAAATGGTTATTTTGCCTCTATATAAAACATTCTTGCGGATCATATATATATGTTCTTATATATCATATGATGCAGTTAAGCATCTAAAACAAAATACGAATAACATCAAATTTTCTTTATCGAGCCATCAACTTGTCCATTGATTTCTTTTTCTAGTGTCTTAGATTTGTTCTACCATTTTCAAGGAAGTAGTTTAATGTTCTATTCGAGTTTGAGCAAGCAAAACCGAATATCAAGAAATAGATGGAGCACGTCAAATTATTAGGGAATAAGAAAAAAGTCGTTCTCACGCAGCAATGAATAACGATTTTATTTGTAAACGGCAGCCGTCCAAAATTAGAGGCATGAATCATGCCTCTTTCATATTCTTAACATAGTAACTTTTTGTGGAGAAAATACTCTTTTTCTGACATAATATAAATACAAATACTTCTATATCTCTTATTAAATCGTTTCTAACAAGTTGCTCCTTTTGATAAAGAAATTAGCTATGTGTATACATATGTATTGTATTAAGATAAGATACAACATCCTATATTCTTCCAAATCTTATAGTAACTTAAGTAGCAAGAAATATTTTCCTCTGTTTTGAAATTTTCATGTGGAATTTGGACATACTTGTCAACGTTTCTTAACTTGAGAGCCGTTTACTAACCATGTGTAATTGGAGCAAATGAATATGAAACTAAATATAAAAATAAGAAAAAAACCAAAAAAAAAAGAATTTTTAAGAAATATCTAGTTAAATGATGATACTTTTTTAACAAATATAGATATATTGCTAGATTATAGCTTATAATTTTAACAGAAACTAGATCATAATCCGCCCTACTGGGCGGGTCTTTTTTTTTATGGTATATATAACATTTTAAAATTACAATTTAATGGTTCCAATTTTACTAAGTAATAGTCTATATTTTAAACATTGTATTTTATCACTGTATTGTATAACATGGGCGCTGTTGTGACCCATAAACATTTTAGTAATAATTTATAAAGTTTTTTTTGGCTAAATTTGGTGCAAAGTTATATACACTAAATAATTTAGTCAAATTTTAAGTTAATTTTTAATGAAGAATTGGAAGGTTAGTATATCACTGTTTAAAAACTTATAACAATAGTCAATATAAATTATATAAATAAAATTTATATTATTTTTGATTTGTTCTTTTTTTTTTGGCACACAAACGATTATATTAATCTAAAAGGTTCAAACGATTACATCCGAAAAGATAGAACCGGAGGGATTCTCAACGGTTTGATGAACAACATAAAGCAGAGCGTAAAAGGAGAACAAGAGATAAACAAAGACTACGAGAGACGCTTGCTCGATAGATGGAGAACCATGGAAAATCTTCAGATGCATCCTTGAATAGGTTATCCCGAGCATGAAATAGTCGCAAGCGACGTTGAATTGACCAAGCTGCAAAGCTTGGCAAGATGCAGAACGAGCAAGACAAGCTCTAGCTCCAATGAAAAGACTCCTTGAAGAGACTAGGTGAATCTCAACATAAAAGGCGGATATAACAATCCTGGATTTGGCGCTGACGAACAGAGAGGATGAACTAAGGAACCGGATAGTGCTAGTTACAGTAGTAGAGCAACTACACACTTTACTGACCTGTGATGACTGAACAAATATAGTCTTCAACTTGAACACAATATCATTGATTTGGGCTAGGTGAACCCTGGTCGTAACGGTTGAACAATCTGAGAAAGGAGACATCTTTATCTTCATATAGACTCTAAAACTATTGAACTTTTGTGGCGGAGTGGACATTGAACTCAGTCCTATACTTCGTACCTCGACATTACCGTGTCGGGACCAGTAAGGTATTACCAAGATATATCTGACAAAACAAACCACAAAGCCAATTGAACTGAACGCATTTGAGTCGTTGTTAGATGACCGGAACAGAGCATCGGGTCTTGGTCGTATAAAAACTCCAGCGAAAGATGACGGAACAACTCCATCACGTCCGGTTGGACTCGTCGGTATAAACCAGAGTCCTTGAAGCTTTCGTTGTTGCTGCGGACCCGGCTTGGATCTAGAAGAGTGTCTTCTTGAGAGTGTTGAAGGAGTCAATACCGTGGAGATAGGAAACTCAGCGAGAACAGATATGGGAGACGCTTTAGAACTACACAACACTCCAGATCTAGCGAGCTCAAGCTCGGGGAAGGTAGATCCGGTGGCTGTGCTTCCACAGGGAGGAGCGGCGCCGGGGATTCGAGTAGGAAGGACAATGGTAGCGGTGAGCGAAAGAACTTCCGTCTGAGCCCCATATGCTACCTTCACAGGTACAAGGATCCGGACAGATCTGGTGAGTGGATCTTCGAAGAACACCATAGGACACGAGCCGTAGGAGACGACCCTGAAACGAAACCAGTAGCTGAAGGTAACTAACGGACTGGAACAGAGCTTGTTGACCATGGTTGCAGAGAAACAGAGATGACTGAAGATTACGGAATAGGAAGCAGAGGACGGCGAAGAGCAAAAGGCAGAGCAAATGGCCCGACGCCGGCGGCCAAAGGCCTCTCCGGCGCCGAGAAAGGTGGTGTGCGGCGCTGTCTTGATAATTGGGTTTGGGAGAGTTTTTAGGGCTTCCGAGTTTTTTTGGTTTTTCAAAAACTTTTTTTTTTCTTTTTTTTTTTTTTGCTTTGTTCTAAATACATTTAAAACATGAATACATATATGTATAAATAATTTTCAAAAGTAAAGTAATATCAATGATAGAAAACCCAAAAACAATAATAATAGTACATTGGGCCATAATAATCTTTAGTTTAATAAATAAGCCCATTAGATTTGTATGTTATCCTTGTTTCCAATCATCATAATTTTAAATATTTTCTATTCATGTTTCTAAACACATAAATTTTTGTACTTCAGCTTTAATAATATAGATATCAAGCATAGTTATTAACTTTTAAATTTTTTCTTCATGAATTATTAAATATACCAATAATATTCGACTCAAAGTATTATGAAAAAAATTGTTCATAGACAAAAAATATAAAGAAAATGACTAAAATAGCATTAAAATTTTTTTGTCACAAATATAGCATTTAAGAATAAAAATGATCAAAATAGCACTTAATGTTTTATCAAAAGAGATAAATATACACCTATATTCTAATGATAAATTAATTTAGACATTAGGGTTTGTGGTTAAAGGGTGGGATTTAGGGTTTAGGGTTTAGAGTTGGGGTTTAGAATTTAGGTTTTATGGTTTAGAATTTAGGATTTCAATTTTTGAAATATAACAAAAAATTTAAAAATTTCAAAAGATAAAATACTATTTTAGTCATTTTTATTTTTAAAAGTTATTTTTGTGACAAAAACTTAGACATGTGCTATTTTAGAGATTTGCCCAAAAATATATGAAGATTGATTTGGATAAAGTTAAAGTTCATATCATATATGCAATTCAAGATCATATATTATATGTGGTCGCGCAATGTATTAATGTGGCCTATAATTTTAAAAAAAAAAAAAAAAAGAAGTAACTCAAAATGAGATACAAAAACTAAACTAGTCAACAGAGATATTCTCCAACTTTAACCTCTCTGATCCCTCACCATCACCGTTCACAAGCATTTTCAAACCATCTTTCAGCTCAGCCACACCTTCTTCAAGAACCGCACAAACAGGAAATATCCTCACTCCTTTCACTCTCCTCTCAAGCTCCTCTAACCTCTCATCCGCACCATCCTCATCAATCTTGTTCGCCACGATCAAAGACGACCTATCAGACAACCCTTCTTCATGGTACTCAAGCTCCATCACAAGATCTCTCAGTTGCTGCCACGGTGTCACACCTTCGCAACCATCTAGCCCTGACGCTAAGTCCACAACGTAAGCCAACACTTTGGTCCGCTCAATGTGGCGGAGAAAGTTATGCCCTAGTCCTCTGTTCTGATGAGCTCCTTTGATAAGCCCTGGAATGTCAGCTACCGTGACGGAGAAGTCATCGTAGTTTACGTTTCCTAGATTAGGACGTAGCGTTGTGAACGCATAGTGGCCTACACGTGGCTTGGCACGTGAGAGTGCACCGAGAAGTGTGCTTTTTCCGGCGTTTGGCATCCCGACAAGACCAACATCAGCTATGCTTTTCAGTTCTAGTATCAGGACAGACTCTGTACCGAGAGAGCCACATTTAATGCTCGTGCGTTGTTGACCATTACCATTACCATCATCATCAGAGTCACCTTCCATAGTTCTCAACGTGGCGGTTTTAGCGAACTTGGTGCCTCTTAAGTAACGTGTAGCGGAAACGTTACCTAAACCTCCTTCACCACCACGTGCGATGACTATGCTCTGACCTTCTTCTGTTAGTTCCGCAACGTTGTATCTGACTTCTCCTTCTTCAAAATCAGTTTCTTCTTCATTGCCTAGATGTAATGCTTCTACACTCTCTTCCTCATCTTCAGCTTCATCTTCAACAGAAGATTCTGGTGTATACTCCTCTAATTCAGGATCATCAACTAGTGTGCCAGGAAGATCCCATGGATCTGAGCTCTTGGGAGAATCAGCTTGAATATGAGATGGAAGCTCACCCTCTTGTAGATGAATCACTGTCCCAATGGGAACTTGAAGAACCTGTTGGAGACACAAAATAAGCTTTAAAAAAAAACTAAAAATAAAGAAACAGAGGAACACTAGTGAGTGATATTATATATAATAAACCTTGTCTTCTCCTCTGTTTCCAATCCTGTTCTTGGAAGTTCCATGTCCAGCTTTCCCACCTTTCTGCAAAAAAAAAAAAAAAAAAAATCATAAAAGGTTTTAAGACAAATCTCCATCAGAAACATTCCAATGTAAAAGACAAGAGACATAATAAACTTACAACATGAGGTTGTAATCCGCTGAAATCCCAAACAGCGTGTGTGCATTCTAATATCACATCACCTCCTCTCCCACCATTTCCACCTGAAAACTAACTCTAATTAACATTCTTTCAAAAATCAAAAAAGTTTAAACCTTTCAAAACCAAAACGTGTTTGCATTTTCAGACACAAAACCAAATCTGAAACATGACTGGTTGTTTGTTGTCGGAATTTGGAGATAAGATTTTTCCGTACCATCAGGTTTTCCGTAACGATCAGTACGGCTACGGCGGACACTGGAACAACCATTTCCACCTTCGCCGCCACGTGCGTACAGAGTAAACCTATCTCTCATTCTAGTCTCCTACACATCACAAAAAAAAAAAGAAAAAAAAAAAAGCTAAAGAGAGTGTTTTTATCATCGGAGGAAGTGGAAAGGTAATGAATTGACCTGCAAAGGGGTGACTTTGCCTTTCTTCTCGGGAGAATCTGAGTAGAAGGCAGCAGGATATGTTTTCAGCCATGGCGGTTTTTGAAGTCTTCGGTTAGATGTCAAGTATCGGAAAGGAACAGTTCGGGTCAGCCACATGAAATTTTGTTTCTGATGGATCTTCCGGCGAGCTACGGAGATAGTTACGGTGTATAAGATAAGCAGCGAGGAGATTTGATCGTTCTGGTGAGTTGCCGCCGTGGTTGTCAGTGAAGAAAACAGAGACTGAAGCCAAGGGTTTAAGGTAATGGGCTTCGTATAAATCCGGCCTAATAAGACGAGTTTTAAAACCCATGAATTGGAAGAAAATGTTTTAACTAAGATACTTTATTTGCCAAATAACTAGAAAAAAATGAGAGAGAGTAGAGAGAGATAGGAAGAAAGAAAAGGGGAGAAAGTGTGATTTTGGCTATTTAGTGTATTTGTGTCTTTTTATAATTTTTTTTTTTATAAAATTTATTAAGTTTATGTTGTATGACCATTCGTATTTTGCAGTCTATTGGTCGAATTGTATTTGAGAAACATAATAATAATATTTTTTTATAAAAATATAAACAAATAAATATTTTTTCTTAGTTTATGTTGCACAATTATAAAAAGTTTTTCTATTAAAAATTGAGGAAATATTACAGAACTGTATGAAATCTTGAATATGTATTAACTCAACATATATACATGTATTTCTTCAAAACAAAACATATGTACATGTATATCAAAAAAAAAAAGTGAACAAAAATCTAACCAAAACATTCTATCAGACGTCTGTAGTAACTACTAATAAACACAGAGTATTTCATCTAAAACTTCATCAAAAATCAGATCTTCTAGCTCAAGAGTCAGGTACTCAGACTCACTTCTAAGATTCATCCATCCATCACCCTTCCCAAGATCTCTCCCCACAATATCATCCAATGAACAATCTCTATCCTGATCTCCTGACCCTAAGAGGCTCCACTCGACTCTTCTCCAGACCTCATCCAGAAAACGTTTCCCATTTGAATATGGAAAATAAAATGTCTTAGGGAAATAGATGTGTGAGTGGTTTCGAGTCTCAGTGATTGCTTCGTTTACCAAATCAAAGAGAAGCTCTTTGTTCACTTCTTCTTGTATGTCAATTTTGAAGAGAAGTGATGGATCTAGAGGTTGTTCCTCTGAGTACCATTTTACTTCCTTGTATTCGTTTTCAAGGAAGCCTGAAAGTTTTAGAACCTTCTTTACGTAACAGAAGTAGACATCTTCATCTTCTTCTTCTGCTTCTTGTTCATGCTTGCTACTATCTAAAGAACTTAGACCTAAACCTGTAGAACAAGCATCCATAAGAAATGAGATTTTTATATCTTTCTCATACCAACGCATGAATTATTACTGTCAAGATCTTACCTGGTGAGAGTGAAGTCTTTGTTTCTTGGATTTTCTCCTCTTGCTCCTCATATTTTTCTTCTTCCTTCTCTGTTCTTACCAAAGTCTCTGATAACAATACAGATTTCTTGGATCCCAAGTTAGTATCTAGGTCTACAGATTTCCTGGCAGAACTATCGCGAGGAAGTTCTGTCAGAAATGAACCAAAAACTTCAAGGCTGGACAATGATGAAACACGTCTAAAGAATTGTGGTTTATTATCATCTCTCAAATAGCTATTTCTCTCTTCATTTGAAACTTTTAAACTCTTGGAACGCAAGTCACCACCTTTTCTTCTAAAACTCTGTTCTAAGAGAAGAGAATATCTCTCCACAGAATTATCTTTTGAAACTGCTAAACACTTCTCATTCTTCTTCATGTGCTTTCGGTCTTTTAATGTGTTCTTGAGCAACTTCTTGATTTTCTTGAATCCATTTATTACAGCTGAGCCATGAGAAGGTAAGATTGGTTTGTCTCCCTGAGAAGTGTCACTTGAAACATTAAAAGTCAAAACGGCAGCGTTCTGCTTTGGAGCATACCAATTCTCCTTCTGCTTGTGCTCAATCCTAGCGGGACGTGGAGAGCCAGAGAGAGGAAACGAGCCTGACTTGGGCAAAACTCTTGGACTTGACTTGATCTCCACTTGCTTCCCAAACTCCGAGTTTGGATCTTTTAGTATCTTGACAAAAACATCTTCCTTGTTCAAGATTTCAAGAAAGTCAACATACTCTGTTACTTGCTTTGTTGTCATCAGCTTCTTCAGTATCTTTGACTCGTCGTTCTTAGAATCAAGAAATGGTTCTTGTTCGTCAGCTTCACGCACCAAGGAATGGGTTCTTGGGGTCTTCCAACCTATGAAAAAAGAGTAACCCATCATTCAACAAGAGTATTTTTGTTACTACAAAAAGATAATAAAAGTTTGCGAGATGTGCTTACAAATTGGACGGTTCTTAGTTCTCCAATGGTGAAAGTGAAACACATGAAGCATTCCAGATAACCAGCCAGATTTGTGATTATATTTGCCATGTCTTGGACTTGAATTCTCGTTCTTCAAATGTTTCCTCATTTGGAATCCTTTATTCTACAAAAAAAAAAGATGAAGTTACGTGTGAAGATAAGAGTATAACAACAAAGACGTATTAAATAACACACAAAATTAGTCAGACCAGACTTATTACCTTGTCTGAAACCGTCAAATCCAATAAAAAAAAAGAAATATTCAAATCAAAGAACATTTCTTATGAACCAGATCGTTTAAAAGCAAAAGCAGAATTGCAAGTAGAGGAAACTGATAGAGGAATAAAATAAGTTTATGAGGTAGAAGCTGACCTGATCAAGAAGAGGAAGGAAGCTGGCCGCGAGAGAAGACTAATCAATATGCTTTAGTCTCCAGCAAGAGAGATTATTAGCTACTGTTATTGCTTAAATCATTACAAAAGTGAAGTACATAAGGACAACAAAACTCAAGAGAGCTTTAAATGATGCAAGGGAAGGTATCTGGAAGAAGAAAGGAAAACGAGGAAGACCTCGAAGACTTTTCGTTCAGCTATGTGGTTTTTACTTTAGCAGTCAAGGATTGCCAGGTCTACTACTCGTCGAAAATTGTCAAATGTTTGTTTCATATATAACGTTCACACGCCACCAGAAATATATGTTTTTTTCTTCTTCAATAAATAGTACATGTATTTTCTACCTTCCTAGTATTTTCCAACTTATAACTAACAAATTAATTAAAAACATCATAAATATAAAGAACGTTAGATAACAGATTATTAAATGTTAACATTTATGAAGTTTACTTCAGTTCAGTTTGTCTTTATTACTTTTAAGTTTTTTCAAATATTTGATATTATCATTTTATTATTGTTATAAATTATTTAACATAAAATATCTCAAGTCATTTAAATATATATGATGTTATAGAGCTTTTTAATATCAAACTAGTTGATTTTTCTCATGCGAAATTAGTTTGTTTTATAGAATTACCTTAAGGATATTAAGTAGTTTGGTCAAAGAGTTTAACATTCAAAATGAGACTAGTTTGAATGTAGTTAAGTTTCTAGATTTTTGTGATTTTTATAAGACAGAAACCACTTGTGCTGGTATACTATGCTAACCAACCAAGTAAAATGAGTAGATGTTAGGCTACGTGTGTTTGTGGCAAGTTGTCAAGATAATACTATTTTATGGGAAGTAGGCTATCTTTTTGGCTGCTTAATTAGACTTCTTTCCTATAATGTTAATTCCTGTCAAATGACTATAGGATGTTGTATATTAAATTCATATAAATAATAGGGACAGTCCAACCATAATGGATTTTTAGTTAGCAGATGAGCATGTCTAAACGTGATGAACTTTTATCTTATAAAAATAGTTTTGAGTAACGGGTGTATATAAGCCAGGGGTGACGTGAAAGCCAAGGTTGACCGGGAAAATTAAAACCCTAGTCACGCTTTTGTATTTTACTCGAATATAGAAGAAGACTTCTACTACCAAATATTCAAGTGGAAACATAGTAACGTTATTGACCTTTGACGTAGATTAGCAAGTTTTTTTTTTTGCTACGAATGTTAATATTTCATAAATGAAAGTGGAAAAGGTTACAAGAGTTGCAGCCTATACAAATGATTTCTTGGCAAAAAAAGCAAAAACAAGAAAGCATTAAGTTAAGCAGTTAAGCTAGCAGCAGTCGTGGCCAACCTAAATCAGCCAGTGTCGCATAATGTTCTGAAACCGGCGCCGTCTTTTTCNTTTTTTTTTGCTACGAATGTTAATATTTCATAAATGAAAGTGGAAAAGGTTACAAGAGTTGCAGCCTATACAAATGATTTCTTGGCAAAAAAAGCAAAAACAAGAAAGCATTAAGTTAAGCAGTTAAGCTAGCAGCAGTCGTGGCCAACCTAAATCAGCCAGTGTCGCATAATGTTCTGAAACCGGCGCCGTCTTTTTCTGGCCAGGATCGTGTTGATGATCAATCTGTTTATTTCCTTGAAGACAGCAGGAGGAGCGATGTAAATGTTATTGTGGAGCAGGTTGTTACGTTGCTTCCAAATACAATAAACCACAGCCTGAGAAGCTAAAAGGCGGAGCAGTCTTTTCCCTCTCGGTTGAGCTTCTCTTAACCAATTTATCAGGTCCGACCACTGGAAGAATGGCGTAGAAGGCGTTCCCAGTCTATTGAATACCAGGTTCCAAATTTGTTCTGCAAACTGACATGAGAGGAGAAGGTGATCTCTTGTCTCAGGAAGTGAAGAACAGATACAACAAACATTTTGAATTTGCATTCCCCAGTCAGCTAGTCTCTGTCTTGTTGGCAGTCTATCCAAGTTGGCAACCCACATGTTGAAAGAGTGCTTAGGTACTGATCCTTTGAACCAAATAAGCTTGGTCCAAGATTGAGGTTGCCCACGAGGTCTTAGGATATCCCAAGTTTTACTTGATGAATAAGCTCCCCTGTTTCCTGCTGTGTTCCATTGGAACTCGTCAACAGTATTAGAGTGAAACGGGTTGTCAATGGTGGTCAGAAAAGCATGAAGGGACACCTCTGCGTCTGATCTTGGTGAAGGTAACACCCATCCATTGCTATTGCAGGCGAGTTTGACAGTAGCATGGGAGGGAATTCTAAGTCTGCGAGGTCCATCCTCACCAAGATAATTAATGAGCACGCCNTCCATTGGAACTCGTCAACAGTATTAGAGTGAAACGGGTTGTCAATGGTGGTCAGAAAAGCATGAAGGGACACCTCTGCGTCTGATCTTGGTGAAGGTAACACCCATCCATTGCTATTGCAGGCGAGTTTGACAGTAGCATGGGAGGGAATTCTAAGTCTGCGAGGTCCATCCTCACCAAGATAATTAATGAGCACGCCTATAGGTGACCAGACGTCGTACCAAAAGCTCACGAGATTCCCATCACCAATATTGCAAGAAAGAAATTGGGCAGCAAGTTGACGCAGTCTTAGCAGACACTTCCAGTTCCAAGAATGAGCTTGTGATTCACTTTGTGTCCAAAAGGTATAAGACGTAGGACAATGATGATGCTTATGCCATGCCACCCACAAAGATCCACTTCCTGCAAAGAGCAGCCAGATTAGACGCAGTATTAAAGTAGTGTTCCATACTGCAAATCTTCGAAGTCCGAGGCCACCCTCAGATTTTGGTAAGCAAACTGAAGACCATGCCACCTTCGCGTGACCTCTGCGATCCATTTTACCGGACCAGAGAAAATGAGCACAGAGGGATTCGATACGTTTGATGCATCCTTTTGGAAGAATAAATGTCTGAGTCCAAAAGTTGACCGTCCCGTTTATTACGGTCGATATCAGAAGGCTTCGGCCAGCAAAAGATAGAGATTTTGAAGCCCATGAGTTAAACCGGAAAGTTATCTTGTCAAGCAGTGGTTCATACTCTGAGATCTTCAATTTCCTACTCATTAAAGGCAGGCCTAGGTACCTTATTGGGAGAGAGCCAATCGGAAAGCCATAAACTTGCAAGGCGGTGGCTTCATCCTGACTCAGGCCAGCGTAGAATAACTGAGTCTTTTCCCTGTTCATATGGAGACCGGACCAGCCAGCAAAGTCCTCAAGAGTTTCATTTATACCATGTAGCGAGGAGCTTCCACCATCAAAAAATATCATCACGTCATCAGCGAACATTAGGTGAGAGAGGTGGAGGTCTTGAGTATTCGGGTGATAGCAGATATAACCTGAGTCAAACCGAGAAGCTAGGAGTCCCGAGAACACTTCCATAGTGAGGACAAACAAATAAGGCGACAAAGGGTCACCCTGACGAAGACCTTGTGTCCCTTTAAAATAGCCACAGCTCTGCCCATTGATGATCACTGAGAAAGATGGTGAGCAGATGCATTGTCGGATCCAATCAATAAACATGTCGGGGATACTGAGGCCTTTTAGAGTCGCCAAAACAAAATCCCACCGCACGGAATCAAAAGCTTTCCTCAAATCAACCTTCAGCATCGCACTTCTTTCAATATTCCTTTTGTTGTAGCCATGAACGATCTCTGTTGCTAGCAGGACATTCTCAGTGAGAAGTCGGCCAGGCATGAAGGCCGACTGAGAGTGAGAAATGACAAGCTGCAGAATACTTTTTAGCCTATCTGTGAGAAGTCTGGAAATAACTTTGTAGATCGTGTTAAGGCAAGAAATAGGCCTGAAGTCTGATATCTTCGATGCATTTGGTATTTTAGGTATAAGGACCAGGTTGGTGGCATTTAGCTGAGGAAGCAGCTTACCAGATGCGAAGAACTCTTGTACAGCTGCGACCACTTCTCCTCCTACCACAGACCAACATGAAGTGAAAAACTCAGCAGAAAAGCCATCAGGACCGCTTGCTTTGTTCCTTGGTAGACTGAAGAAAGCGTTTCTGATGTCCTCGTTGGTGAAGGGATCAGTAAGAGAGGCTTGCTGTGCAGGGGAACATGTGAAGTTTAGAAGAGCCGTTATATCGTCCTGCTCAAACATTGGTGGTGAGACCACTGGAGACATCAAATTGTTGAAAAACTCTACACAGTGATCCTGAATAAGATGTTGGGAATGAATTTGGCTGCCATCAGAGTCTATTAGGTAGTGGATATGATTAATAGCTTGTCGAGAGCTTGCCATTCTGTGAAAGTATGGGGTATTATTTTCGCCAACATCCAACCAAGTGACTCTCGACTTCTGATAGAAGAAAGCCTCCTCTGCCACAGCTAAGATAGACCACTTCCTTTGAGATTCCATTTCAGCAGCAGCATTGGCAGGGGTAGGATCCATCAAAGTTGTTTGTTGAGCTGAGAGTAACAGAGCGTGTGCTTCAGCCACTCGCTTCTCTATATCAGAATAGTTAGACTTGCTGAAATCTCGAATTGCAGATTTGAGCAGTTTAAGCTTTCTAACCACTCTGAACATTGCAGTACCAGGGACATTTGTAGAGAACCAACAGTCTGCTATAAGTGGCAAAAAACACTCGTTCTTCAAGAGATAATTAAAGAACCTAAATGGTTTCTTTTGTTTTTGCAGACCCGAGGTAAGAGAAACATGCATGGAGGCATGATCTGAGAAATCTGGTGGTCCAAAGAAGCCCAAGGCAAGAGGGAACATGATGTTCCAAGAATCATTGACTAGAATCCGGTCTAGCTTTTTGGCTATGGGCTGCTCCTTTCGCTTGTTCCACCAGGTGTATGTTGATCCTCTGAAATTAAGGTCCACTAGAGAAGAATCAGTGAGGGTTTGTCTGAAGATTCTAGTATGAAGATCAACATTCGGGCTCAAAGAAATAGAATTTTCTTTTGGATCCAAAACTTGGTTGAAGTCTCCGAGTACAGACCATGCTTTGCCTATGAGTGCATGACTGGTAGACAGGTTAGTAAGCTCGTTCCAGAGAGCTAGTCTTGAAGTTTCCTCATTCGCAGCATAGATAAATGAAATAACAACAGATTCAGAGGCTTCTGGGAACTGAACATCGCAAGTCACCATCTGGAGCGACTTTGTTATTACTGTGACCTTTATGCTTGGATGCCACATAATCCAAATTTTTCCAAGCTC